GAGCTAGCTATCATGAATTAACATATATACAAAGCTAAATGTTACCTTGCCCAATTCTTTCTTTCTTCAGCCAAACAAATCACCTTTGTCTTATTTGGCTGGTATCAATTTAGTAAGACTTCTGGGGTTTTTATTTTGTTTTTTAGTTTGACATATATGCATCTTTACATATATGAAACCCACAATTCTTCTTCATAAGATGTAGCTATTAGTGACCATCTTTCAGCAAAAATTTATTCACAAGTTTGTTCAGATAAGAGCATGATTTACATTGAATTATTTACATGATATCAAATGTCACATTCTATCAAGAAAAATCAAATGAGTGAAGAAATCAGAATTTATTTTATTTTTTTCACTAGTGATTAGATACAATTTTACATTTATGTTTTTCTATGGACTTGTTTCCAAGTATTATTTTCCTGCCCCATCTTTCATTCTCAAATAGACAATTTTTGTTTAGCTTTTGTTAGCTACTAACACAGTACCATTTTCTAAGTGTATTCTTTGGGCAGTAATAAGTGAACAAAACCAGCTGCTTAGACATAATTATATTTTTTGAAAACGGGCACTAATCATAAAAATCTTCATTAAAAACAAGCTCTTACATCTAACTGCATAGCAGATAAGCTTTGTAGTATAGTATGTATTCATTTTAAAATATCAATAAAAGATTTACAAAAAGTATTTAAAATGAGAAGGATCGTCATATTTGAAGTTATAGGTTATATCTGGGATAGACTGCTAAACCCTTCATTCCAAGTTGTTTTCCCTAAGCTCTTTCATGTTTTACTTTGAATTACAGTGATTGTTCTTATTTTCATGAAACTAATTATTGTATAAAAAGCAAACAGATCTTTTGAAGTCCCACATCATATTATACATAACATTTCTATGTTTATTTAAATGTCATGGCATCAACATCAATCATGGAATCAATTTCATTTTAGAAGTCCTCTTGGCTGTGTCCTCACTCCCACAAAGACTTGCAACCATGTTTAAGCAGATAGCTTATCCTATTCACTTTTATCATTTATTTGCATGATTACATTTAAGTTTATTTTCAGTGTTTCCATGATTCAGATTGGATAGTAAATTCTGAATCTTTGGCATATGTCAGTTAAAACTAATGTCTTCTTTCAGCCTTATAACTGCAGACACCCTTGGCAGGTTCTGAATGTCTCTTAGCTAGATGGAATTAAAGACAGTTGAAGCTGCAATGCTGAATAGAAATATTCTATCCTACAAGATAGGTGACCTACAAAGTAGATTAGAACAAATGAAAAATAACCTTTTGGTCACGCTACAGAAATTAAGTTAATACAAATGAATCATCTTGCATTTAATCACTTTGAAATAAAGCCTAGATGAACAGCTACTCCACTTATTTGTCACATGCACCCTTTTCTGTTATTCATCTTTTATATGTATTCTAATTAYTACCTGGATAGTTTAGGGTTAAAGTCATCATCATCGGCAAAAATCTTCAAAGTTCAGTTCTTCAAAAGAGTGTTTTTAAGTGTGTGATGGTTTTAGACTATTATAATAAGAAAAAGTATGTGGATTTTCACACACACCAGGAAACCTGTTGTGCCTGATAGCTTGTACATTTGACAACTACACAAGGTAAGAAAAGATATCTTCTCCTAGAAGTCTCATTTTGCTTATATTTTTAGAATACTCTGGCCATTACAGCAATACCAGTGACTCTCTTCATGGCTTCTATAGGGAACTTGGGATGCTAAATCATATAGATTTCATTGTCTCAGACCAGACATCAAGAAATATTTAGTCTACAGAATACAGAAGAAAAGTCTCTGTTTTCTGAGGATGTTCACGAATCTTTCCATTCTCATTTATGTTGTTTGTAACAAGTGATACTTGCAAAACTGCAGGTAGAATTGAGGTTTTAGGGTTTTCTTTTTTTTTTTTTTTTCATTCAGTTTGTGCAATTTACWAACATTAACCAAATTCCAGTTCTTACACACTGACAAGCAACTGGTATTTTTTAGGATTCCTAACATTTAAAAAATGTGACAGAATTAGCGTCATCTATCCACCAAAACCACCACACTTAATATGAAAATCATAATGAAAGACTTCCTGTAAAGGGTAAAGTCAATAAACCTTAATTGCTGGCTGCTTATGTTATTCAAATCCATTATGTATTTTGAGAATGTGTGGCCTATCTTGAAAAAGTCTTTTCCTCCCATTTCTGGGGTTGAAATACTCATGTTAGAGCTGCRTAAAGGTTACTGCTAATGCCAAACTCTCCAGCTGTTCAATTGACCATACAGACAATAGCTTTTAAAAACATTGCTCTGTTGTCAGAACTTTGCTGCCAATATTTCATCATTTCTGGAAAAGCATCTTGGGTGCTTTACTATTCTTTTATTAATGGTTTGTTTTTACTCTTGCAGGTTGAAGATGCTTTGTTTTTATGGCTGCTGCTTTAGTCCCGATACAAAGTGCATCGAAGAAATAATAATAAAAAAAAAATAGTGATAATCTTTCACGACCTCTTTGTCCCAATTGTTGAACAACCTTCCTGTATGTTTCACATGAGGTATATTTTGTGATATTTTTGTGATTGCATTGGGTAAAAGCTGCAAATCCCATTCTAGTCTTAAAAGGTATCAAATGGAGGCATGATAGGAAAAAGGAAAAGAAAGAAAATTGAGTATGTGAAGATCTCACACAGTCAGTGCACTCTGCATGCCAGCCCCTCTGCAGCCCTTTAACGCATTTGCACACACCATGTTTCCTGCCTGGATGGTTATGAGAGAGGGAGGTCCGTAAACAGATGCAGGGATAGGTGGAAATAGGTCCAATTGGGACTTTATTGCTTTGAGGTATACAGTGACTACAGTGGTGGTAAAGTGTGTGCCATTAAGTGGAGAAATCGTATGTTTTATTAACTAGCTGTAATGGTGCCAAGACAAGTATGATACATGTGCATAATACAGACCATTTTGAAAGGTATGTTTTTATAGTATTAGCTGATTCTGTGTTTTCAGCCAGAACAGATGCTTGAACTCATTCAGTACAATGAATTAAAATATTGGGATTGGGGTATTTCTCTATCTGTAGCCTTGGTATCTTACTTGGAAATAKAAGTTTCCTACTGCACTGGATATAAATGACTGATCACAGGAGCTGTGCTTTGCTTTTGTGTATTTAGTTCAGAGCTGGATTTGAAGTGACAGGTCCCGCTAATAGTCTCACAATTTCAGAACAAAGCCTTGCCTTGCCGTGCCTTGCTAGAAACCTGTCCTCACTGCCCATTCGTATGTCTCATCAAAAATAATCTCTTTTTCTTTTTATCTCTGTGCTGGTGCTACCTGTTTTGCAGAATACATGTCCCATAGCAATGCTAAAAGAAACACCATACTTCATCCCAATGCCCAAAATTTATGTGACAAACTTATATAAACATGGAAATAAAGCAGATACCAAAGACTATTTTTTGTTACGTGACACCCACTGAATTCACAAAGAATTGCTTGCATTTGAAAGCAGAAGTCTGTCCAGCATATTGGCAAATGTTGTAAAACTTTTACATCGCCTGATTTAAGACTTACGTGATTTCCATTTGTTTTCCATACTCTGTATTTCTTACCTGTATCACATATGTAAATACCACATACGTTTAAGAACACAAGGATGCAGACCTTTGCATGAGAGTAAAAGCTCAAGTAAGAACAGGACTATATAGAAGGTCTGGGAGAAGCTGATGTTAAATCTCAGTGAAACAACATGGGGCAATACGTCAAAAGCATATTTTCACACTGGCAATCCAAGGCGGACAAGAAATATGCACACGAGTGAATAAGAGACCGGCCAGAAAACAGACAAACATCACACGTATGCTTGCCGTCATAAAGGCAAACAAGGAGGTGAGCACATTTATTTGAGCAGGAACTCCCTGTCTATGACACATTCAGCCTTGATAAGACTGCTGCTATTCAGCTCAGGAGGGGGAAGAAGCTGAAAGCCACATGTCCACACATTAACAGAGACTTGGAGGGCATAAGCAAGTTAATTTTGTTTCTTTGGATAGCTGAAAAACTCTTCATTTAGCCCTATAAGTCTTTCAAGACATTATTTCAACAGAAATTTGGTTGGGCACCCTGCAGGCTGGCAAACATGGAAGAGAAAAAACTTTATGTTAGATTAACTGTGTTTTACTGGAACACTAGATGCTGGAATCTGAGAAATTAAGAATAATACTTTTTTGCCACTCTATTTTGGAATTGTGTAACAGAAATGTAGTTAAAATGTGTTATATTAAGGGTTTTCAGTCATCTTTTAAGCTAAAATTTACGTCTGGAATTATTTAATAGTTTTCTTTAAAGTGCAAGGGCAGATTTATTGAATATAGATTCTTGGCAGTTTTTTTTTTTTTCCTGAGTTTATCTATGTCTGAAACATAGCAACCCAAAGCTTGACTGTAATTTTATTCGAGGGCATTGCATACCTCCTAGGCATAGCACTTTACAGCGCTCATTCACAGTACGTGATTTATTGCAACGAGAGGTCAGGGGGACTTCTTGTGCCTTGCAGGATCACGAACTTAGCCCTGGGATATACTTCAGTCAATAAGGAAGCAGGGTTTGTTGGCAGATGGATTTGTATTCCGTTTAACTCCATCGCAGCTAAGACAAACTCTAAGGTCTGTTTTGCAGACCCTGCAGGCAAGCCACACATGGGAGCAAGCGCAGGCGACCTCAAAGAAAAACTTGAAACTTGTTCAAAAAGCACGTGCTCCCACGAAACCGGGGCGCTAAACAGCGACTCCGGGCAGGTGGGAGGTCCCGGTGTGTGCGAGGGGACGGGAGGGCAGTGCCGCCCCGCGGCGCGGCGGGGCCGAACCCGCTGCCTCCCGCCGGGCACCTGCGGGTCCCGCCTCCCGCTCCGGGCGCGCGGGGCGGAGCGCGGCCCGCGGCCCGTGTCCCGCGTCCCGCCGAGCAGCCGGGGCCGCTGGCCGGCCGTGGGCGCCCATGGAGGCGGCGGACGAGCAGTCCCGCCTGCGCGCCCTCTTCYTGGCCTGCGACGCGAGCGGCTCGGGCCGCATCGAGCGCGAGGAGTTCGCGGCGCTGTGCGCCGAGCTGCGCGTGCGGCCGGCCGAGGCCGAGGCCATCTTCCAGCGCCTCGACAGCGACCGCGACGGCGCCATCACCTTCGCCGAGTTCGCCCGCGGCTTCCGCGGCGCCACGCGCCGCCGCCGGCCCCAGGACGAGCAGGAGGAGGCGGCGGCCGCGGCCGAGGAGGCGCCGTGGGCCGGCGGGGCGCTCGAGCAGCCCTGGAGGGACTTCGAGGTGCGGCTCGGCGACGAGGCGCGCTACATCCCCAGGTGAGCGCCCCGCGCCGCGCCGCGGCCATCGGGGGGCTCGGCGCGCCCCCGCGCGGGGCGCAAACGGTGCCGCAAACGGTGCCGGTGCAACGGCGGCTGCGGGAGCCCCTCGCGCCCCTCGCGCTGCCCGCGCCCGCTCTCGTGCCGGGGCGCCCGGCCCGCACGTGCGCTTGGGCGGCAGCTTACGCGGCAGCTTGGGCGGCAGCTTAGGCGGCAGCTTAGGCGGCAGTTTAGGCGGCAGCTGGTGCCTGCGGGCTAGCCCTTGCGCCCGGCTGTTACTGAAGGCGGTGGCAGCCTCTGAGCTCGCGGTGCCAAAACCTCAGGGCCGGCGTAAAGCGAAGGAAAACGGCAGTGGTGGTTTAGGAGTAAAGCTGAGTGCAGGCTGGCTAGTACGCAGCGGTTTGCGTTTTGTGTGGGTGCGTTTTGGTGATTCCCCGTAGTTGTGCTAGAGACTTGAGACACCTCAAGTTCCCGTGAAACTGCGGAGTAAGAAGTGCGGAGTAACGCGGCGTGATTGAAGAATTGTGAGTTAGGCTGGAAAACAAGCAGCCTGAGGTCAAGGGCTTGAAAGGAAGCTGAGAGACAGATTAAAGAATGGACGAAATGGGTTCCTGAATGTATGACAGACTGTAGTGGGTTCTGACTGTACACGTAAGCTGATAAAAAGCATATCCATTCCTGCCTGCTTTTTCAGTCAAATCTAATGTAAACTTTGCTGTTTTATTAGGAACATATGTTAAATGCTTTGCAAACATGTGACATCCAATTTGCCCTTAAAAACCTTAGCTAATCCAGTGATACAACTGTAGGCACAGTTAAAAATGTATTCAGATCTTGCGATGARAAATTTCCTCAAGGAAATTTTCAGTTAGGTAAAATAGCTTCTTTTAGATGTATTAGATTGTTCTTTTTCCCCTTTTATTTGGGAAGAGACATTCATTAGTTCTGTCCGGAATCTGACAGCAAAACTTCATTTTGGTTTTTCTTACCTACTTCATGATTCACCTTTCCTACTTCATGCACCTTTCCCATAAAGAAAGGAAAGCCTCTTTCCTGACGGCTCGCGGAAGCAATTCATAATTTCGTCTAAAGTCGGTGAGAGGAGTGAACAAATAAGACTCGGGAGCGGCGATGACTTGTGCAGGCATCTGCGTCCTTTGGCAGCCAGCCTATCTCGCGTGCTGGCTGCTAGGTGTGCAGCAGCCGTTCGAATATCGACCAGTTGTTTGTCTGAGAGAGAATGGGAATGCCGCTCTTTGGCTCGAGTGTACAGACGTTTAATTACGTTGCTCTGTGATTCCTGTGCCTCCAGTCRCAGGCCCACAGGACTAGATGTTGATCATTAAATATATGCTTAACAGATGGGCAGTTGCTTGATGTAAACGGTTCCTGTTCAGTTTTAGCTTTATAAATAGCTCTGCACATCCTTCATAGCTGGCTGTATTTAAGTGTGTACCAACGTCACTTGAAGAACACTGTGCCCTTTGTTTTTTGTCTTGTTCTCTCCTGTCCCAAAGTGCTGGAGTCAGAGCTTTGTTATAGCTCAGCCTCTTTTCATTTAAGGCCTAATCTCATCTTTATTAAACACACATACCCTATGTAACCTTTTTTTTTTTTTTTTTTTTTTTTTTCCCCCCCCGTGTGACTAATCCCACTGTAGTTATTAGGATTAATTGTGTGTATAAGTAAGGAATGTGTTGAAGTTATTTTTGGCCTGGGCTTGTTAGAAATTTTAAGCAACAGAATATAACAGTGCTGTATAAAATAGATTTCTTGGAAGATTTTTGTCTTTTGTTTATATACTTTGTAGTTGTTTATTAATCCACATTTTTTTTTGTTATTCTACGCTGAGACTTCTCAAATAAATGTTTGTATCTTCAGTGCTATAAAGCAGCTTACAGACAGTGTAGTTTATTGTTCTTTGTATTTTTGCTGCAAACAACATTTGCATTGGAAACCATGAGAAGTGTAATCACAAGAAGGGAGCTCACTTTGATGAGATTTTGGTTTATGCAGAGAGAAGCAAGTTACAGGATATGGAACTAGTGAGATAAAATAGGAATAAAGTGAGTTAAACAACTGTAGTCTGTGTTATTCCTAAATTTGATCAATGCCATGGAAATTAGAGATTTTTTTTTATTGATACCATTACACAGTTCAGCCTCTTTTCTGTGAATGAGCTTTTTAAAAACAGAGGTTAACCCTTTTAGTTGGGCCCAAAAGCTAGTAACAAAAATCAGTATCTGGTAAGTCTGTTGTTAATGTCCTGGAGCTGTGATTGTATCCTGGTYGTTAAAAGACGGAGCAGTATGAAGAATTTTTTTCTGCTTCCTAGGTTTCTTCCTYGACTGAACAGATTTTCAGGGCTGACCTGAATACCAGGTATTCCTTGGTAGTCTCTGTGAGTCAAAGTATTGTTTGTCTTAGTCTTTACACATACTCAGTGGGCAATTCTTAGCACAAAGAAGTGGAGTCTTTTCCAGGCTAGTGACCTAGTATAATGTGTGAAATCAGATTTTAGTGGAATTGCATGGGGCTGTTTTCTTATGGYATTCAAGTCATTTAAAATGCAGCTACTCCTTTTTTTCTTGTTACATTCAGCCAAATGTAATGAGTAATTAAACACAAAAGATTGCAATGACTTTTGTTTGTGTATAGCAAGTTGCCAAGTGGAGTATAGTTGTGTGAGCCACAGAAAATATCTTTTATCGAGAATTTAGGCATGTCCATGTCCATTTGTTTATATTTCTAAAGAGCACATATTGGCAATGATAGTTGCAGATAAAAGTTAAGAAACTTACCTTCTTGATGCTGTGGGTAATAAGCTTTCCTTTGCTTTGCCCACACTGTAGGCCAAGGTCTTGCCCTGGACCCTTACAAGATATTTCATGGTAATCCTCATATCTGTTTAGATTTCAGGGGTAAGATGCAAAGCTTTCCTTCACAGGCTTACACTCCTCTAAGCTGGTGTGAGAAAATTCTGGTGGCAATTCACTTCTTCAGCATGAACACAAAATGATTCAACGTCTACTGACCCTCCCAGAGAGAATTTGTACTTAGGAATCCTGTGACAGTTATTTTGTCTGTAAATAATCAGCAAAAACTCACCAGAAAAAAAAAAAAAACAGATTTTAACCATGAAGATCTTAGATCAAAAATATTAAAGATATGCAAGTCTGTGTATTGCRTGTGTTCTTGTGTTTGCTTGATTGTTCTGAGAATAAACTGAATTCCCTCAAGCCATACCAGTCAATTTATGTGTTATATTTGGCATATTGGACAACTTGACTGGAAAATGAACTAAATTAATTTGAGCAATAGATGAATACAGAGGTTTATACCTCTGTTTTGAATTAGTTCGTCTTGTTTTTGGCTATTTTTTTTTTTTTTTAATCTTGAGAACTGCTTTACTTGCTGCTGTTGATCCAGTTCTTATTTCAGGGCTGCTAGGGCAGCAGTGAGRCCTTGTTCGGGTCCAGGTACAATTCCAAAGCATCCTGATATAATCATGATTCTCTCATGGGAGATCACCCCCAGTTTTTTCATTTGGAACCATGTATGAAATATAGGTCTTGTCAATGTGTGATAAAGGGAGAAAAAGCATTGTTTTTRGTATTTGCTACTTAAACAGTGAAGAGGGATGATGCTTGTGGGACATAYTGTTGTGCTCCATCAGAGGAGAGGACCTCTGTCTCATTTAAATAAAACGAAGTCCAAAACCCACTGGGCTCTTGCTGTCACGTTCCGGAATGGATTTTTGCACAGAGTCAATACTGAGCATAGCATAGGTTCTGTCAGCAATTTGTGCTGGCATCCAAGAAATTACGTACCTTGTTGTCAACACTGCAGAGGTTGTTTCACCATCRTGTTCTATAGCAATGGCCTCTAAACTTTCGTTTTCTACACATTTTCTCTTTCCTGTCTTTCAGTGTCTTCCACTCCTGCCCTGCTACTTGCTTGTAATTATGTTTCTGTCTTTAAAAGGTAAGTTGCATTTATTCCTTAGAAATACTAAAAATTGCTTGCTTGAACCTTCAGCTGCCCATTCTTTGTCCATATCCTCTTATCTAAGAACCTTACACATTTGATACTCTTCTTTCAAAGTGATGCTCTCTGTGACAAGGTGGCTGCAGAAAAAGAAAACACAATATTAAAATGTACTGCGTTTCAGATTGGAAAGTATCTTGAATTTTATCCTATGCTAATATTTCATGTAATTTGCTTKCATTCAAGACATTTAATTTAGAATAAGCTGTTGCTGAGGTGAAATTAGATCCTTTCTGATCTTGAAACCGCTCTGKTGGATCTTTTGTGGTGAATAATAAAATAGCTCATCCAGATTGTCTGTTTTCCTGAACTGAATTCCTCTCTCTTGGTGCAAGTACCTACTTGGCTTCCAGTGTAAGGAACATTACCAGACGTATAGTGCTTTCTTGCTGTCTTTTTCTGGCTCGGATCACTCTATGTCTTGTCCTTTAGTGTGCATACCAGAACAGAGTTGTTACAAGTGGTGGAGAGTTATTTTTACAACTTCATCTGACTTAGGAAAAGGCCAAGGAGACAGGATTTTAACATTTAGAAAGGACTGCATTACTCTTTTTAGGATACCAGATGGTTAACTACCCAGATAATGTCGTAGTGATTTGGCTTTGCTCTTCCCTGCACCTACAAAACAGTAAAAGTAGCTTTGCTGGAGAACATCTTGGTAGTTTTCTTGCCCCTTAACTTTTCTTGCCCCTATAACTCCAGCATAGCCTGGATCTACATCTGAAAGAGGAGAAATATACTATATTTGCTATGCTTCCTCTCCTGCTTTTTATGCAAATGTCCACTGTCCATTTTTACCTCAACTTGATTGAGAACGGGGTCTGCGAGGTTGTTAGTGTTCYTTATTATCCTTCTGTGCCATGGCAAAGAAGCCAGCAGCAGTTTATCATCCTCCCAATTTGTATGTGGAAGATCTTGGCRTGCTTAGCACAGTTGGCCATGGGAGCCATGTCTTTACTCTTTAGCATTTAATGAATTATATTTTGACAGAGCTTATGTGAAAAACAGTCTTCCATTTCAGCAAGTATTTCTACCAAGAATACTGAATTTGCATGTTACCTTTTCTGATTTCTTCTGCATAGGCAGTGGCCCTGCCAGTTCTCTGTCATTTGCAGAGATATTGTTTCTTTATCTTTATAACTTCTCAAGCTCTTTGCCCGTTTTGCCTTATATCCCCTGGAAATGCAGACGCTTTTGTTTTCATTAAGGACACTTTTTTTTTTTTTTTTTTTTTTTTTTTTTTTTTTTTTTTTTGGTACTTAATGCTCGTCACAATCTGGAATTTTAAAATAATAGCTTTTCAGAAAGTTTTTACTGATGTTTCTTCTCTCCTTCATTCTAAGCAATAAATTAGGGCGGAATAAAGAGTGGATTGGCCTTTCACTGCCAAGAAGTGGATAAGCTTCCTAATTTTCTGCCCAAGGTAGGTAATGAGGAACAAATGAGCTCTATTTGTCTTTGATCAAACTTGGCTGTATCACCATTACAACTCCTGACTGAACACCTCCCCCTTGGAGAACAGGACATTCATGAGGATATCTTGCTTTTCTTTCAGCTCCAAAATTCTGCCCTCAGTTTCACACTGGATTTTCCTCAGAAGTCAGTGAAAGCATACAGCTATAACTGAGCAGAATTTGTTTTTTGGATGACTGCTCTGTTGATATCTGGACCTCTGCTTCATACACCTGCAGTGAAGCTCTGCCTTTGTGAGTGGATGGGGTGTCCGATGACAGTGCTCTGCACTCATGTATTACCTGCTCCAAGAGCATAGTGGTTCATATATGCTGAGAAAATGTGGTGCTTTTAGTCAGTTTATTGGTAGGAGGGCTATTCTGATTACAGCATGAATCAGTGTGAACCTTCACCCAGCGTTGCAACTGACTGCACTTAGACCCAGCAAAATTAAACTCAGCATTTCTCAAGGAGATAGAGGTTGAGAAAAGCACTACCCAATTCGATGGCCTCCAACCCAATGGAGGCTAGACCCCTGTAGTATGCTGCAACAGGGAATATAACAAAACAAAACTGCTTTCCACACAAACAGACAAGAAAAACGGCAGGATTTGGAAACGTCTGGACATTCCCAACAGACTCTATTCAGAAGTATATCAAAGTTTTGTTTAGAAAAACAGCTACATGTCATTGAATAATTACTTTCTCATCTCCAACTATTTATAGAGTGTTCAGAGGAGTGACCTGTCATTGTGATCGCTGCCCTGAATGCAAAACAAAAGCAAAAAATAGAGTTTTGCATGGATTTGTGCTGCGTTCCATCCCTTAAYTGGGCTGCACAGTAGCT